AGATCGAATATTTTGATTACAGAATTATTCCCCACCTCTGGTTGAATCAGAATGGGATTTTGTTGCGATATGAGGATGGTTAACTAATTTTTGCTTTAAAAGTTCCCACTGACATAGCTTTGTCCTGCATGCATGCCTTTTTTTAGAGAATTTTTATTTCGTATTCTACTTGTTCTTTCAAGTCGAGTACTCTGCGACCCGAAAGGAGAAGCGGCCATGGAAGATAAAGTTCTACTTCTGCCATCCTACGCTTTTTTCATACGTATCTGTCTCTTCTCTTCATCACTACTTCTAAATTTATTGGCCTCCTACCGATTTATGTTGTTCTCATTAATTGTCTCATCTTTCAGCTTTTAGAGATTCACTACCGGTTTCACTATATTCAGAAACGTCATTTGTGAACTTTACCTCCGCAGAGGTTGATGATTGAGGTTAGGGTCCTACCTCTGACTAATTCCTGACATAGTTTCACCATTTTAGCTTCTACGTGAGTGACTTTTGTATTCATGTTCTACTTTTGCCATTCCGTTCTGTGGCGTGTTAGATGGTTGCCTAAGAGGTCTGTTTCGAATACCGCAGGTGCAGAGTTTGATTCCGCTCGAGGGCAGTCTTTGTCTTATTTTTGAATTCCCTTCAGCAAGGTGCTTACCATACTTTGTTTGAAACCGGGATTGTTCAGTCGGTAGAGCGTTGAATTCAATCGATAGGTCCCGAGTTTAAGCCCTGGTTGCGGTCATTCTCTTTGCTTCCTTCCAAGATTGATAAATGATTACCCCTCTTTTGGAAAGAAACGAGATTACACACTATGCACACTTTCCACGCTGTGTAGTTGTTGACTCTGCCTTGAAAATAAGGCACCCTTGACTAATGGTATTGAGACGGAGACCAACACTGCATCATAAACTTCGTGAAAAGAAGGGTGCAATCATGAATATGTCAACGGTGACAAATGTTCTTTTCCTTTCGTTTCTGCTATTCTTTTTTTATTACCTCTTCTTCAGCGTTGTTTCAGTGCTTCAAAGATCTTGATTGTCTGACCAGTTTAGCTGATTTTTGTTCTTATTATTCGTCGCCCCCATGTAAACCAGTAAGTAAAACATTAACCGTAGCTTCAGTAACAGTCGAGCTGACAGCAGGTGGACTATACTTGTGGACAATATGAAGAGAAAGTTTGTCGAATACGCGTGAAATATGGTACAAAAATTAGCGTATTCGAATGAAAGGAGGGTTCCTTGCTGTAAAGAACGATATTGAACTGCAGACAGGGGATATTGAGGGCTGAACAGGTTATCAGAACACTTGGAGGAATTTGGTTCGTTTTCAACTGATTCTTGTCCAGTGTAAAATGGAATAAATCGAAGAAAAGAAAGTCAGTGCATAAATATGAAATTAAGTGACATCATCTTATGACCAAACGGTATGCTTTATAATGGCAAAAGCATTCGTTTTTTTTCTCAATGACTAGATCGGATAGTAGCGTCAAACCGCATCATTGCCTTATCTACACCTATAAGAATACACTACTCTATATTGGCATGGGATTTTGTAACGTGGCTCCTATTCTTCCCTGCGATCAACTATTAAATATCAACAGTTTTTGGGCGCAACTCCGGTTATGCTGAGTAGCGCTTTGCTTTCCATGTTACATGTAGCCAAAAATCCAAAATATGTCCGCTAGCCATATTTACTCAGCGTGTTTGATCGTTTTGCGATTCATAGCATGACCGTTTGATCGCCGATCAAGCGGGGATGCTTGTATTTCTCATGAAAGTGCAGTGCAGCCTGACAGCTGCTTACTGTCTTCTTATCTATGGGTCGTTGAAAACGTTCTGCAAATTGCTTATTTTAGATATTTGTTTTTTTATTTATATCGACTTTCTTTTACGTACAGTATTTTCTATAGCCCAGAAACTGGTAATCGATTGGCATGAGCAACTCTGTAATGTTCAGTAAGGTATGATCCGCGATTATTGCCTGTTTTGATACTCTTGACGTGACGTTTCAGATGGACGAACTCTGTGCCAAGATGCGTAGCGTTGACCAAGGATTACCCGTAAAAACTCAAAAATATTTTCGCACTTCTGTGCCTGCTGCGTTTACAGGTAAGCAAATTTAATTTCATTTCCACAATGACTTACTTTAAGCGAGTAGTAGCGTTCACCACGGGTCCTGTCTCATATAGTTTTATGGCGATCACGGAAATTTTTTCTTGTTCGTTGCTGTAAACCGAAAAATATGATGAATTTAGTTTTTTATAGTTCTATTTATTATTTGCGTTTTTCACTTCATGCTAATTGTTGCACAAGGTCGTTTACTATCAGATGTGTCAAGACGAATTGCAGCATCAGCAGGCACTGACATCAGGCATACATAAATCATGGCTATAAATCTCGACCAATCCTGAATGACCACATCATTAAACCGTGTTGTGCATGTTTTCGGTAAGTCAATGACTTGCTACCCTTTTCTCGAAGCAGTTCGGAGTAAATTCTTTGTTCAAGGACGTTCATAGTCTCAAGCAAAGATTTTGTCGTTCCCTGCAGTTTGATCTGAAGTCTTTGCCCTGGGACACCGCAGGACAATAATAAACACCCATTTATTTATCGATAATCTAATTTTTTGTAGCAGTCTCAGTCGTAGAGTACCGTGCTTTGGCAGTAATTGGCTTTGTTTCCTTTAACCGTAGGCCAACAAATTGGCTATGCTTTAAGAGAGCTTTTGTTTGTTTGTACGCCGCCTGACGTTCTAACTTGGCGCTTCTGTTTGTGCAGGAACCGAACTAATCGAATGGCTAATGTCAGCGGTGATCGGCAATGACGTAGGTATAAGAAGGATGCTGTAGTATACGTTACCGAATTGAATCGCTGTTTTAGCGGAAGCTATTCATTTGGCGAATCAGTTCATCCACTTTGGTTATTTAGTCCCGGTGTTTGAGCCGATTGCACCGCTCAAAGAAGACAATACCCTCTATCGGTTACAGGTAAACGAATGTCGTTTTCTTTGCGTTGTTTCAGAGATTTGGAAAAAACGTTTTTGATTTGCGGCATATTTTTCACAAGGTCTTTTCCTTCCTGATCCCATTCGATCTCTGCATGGGCTACTTTGAAACTGCTTCAGCTGTATTTTGCCCTGACAGTTTTAAACCTTCATGTTTTATTACCGTTTTATAGGTGAAATTTTTCTACCAATACATTAGCGGATATTCTGAATTTGCGCTGAAGTATTTCCACTTGAAGTTGAGTATAAGTTCGGATTTCGGTGTCCCTTACATTTTCATAATCTGAGAGCATTTGTGGCACGTTTTATCATATGAAACTTTTGGCGCCGCCTTGATCTCCTTTTCTGTCTTCAGCCACGGTGCCTCGATTTTTTAAAGGCACAGTCTACACCTAATTGGCAAGATTAGCATGTCGTCTTTCTTTCCTACAGAGTACTCATTTGTCAACCTCGCAAAGAAGAACGCGAGTGACCTAACCGGGTCTCGAACCCGTGACCTCTCGGTTGTGAGTTCGTTGCTGTACCGACTAAACAGGCCTGGTCTGTCCAGAGTATTTCAGCTCATAGGAGACTGATGGTCACTGCATTGAGTTCACTTCAGAGCAAGACCACAGTGCTTTTGTTTTTTTACAATCCAGTCAGGCGTTATATTCACGGGTTCTTCACATTGTCGGTTTTTAGAAAGTCGTTGTGAATTACGATGTAGGACTTAAAATTCGCATTTTTCTCATTGTAGACTCGTGTTTTACTTCCTGCCATTTACTAGTATTCTCGTGCAGTAATTCATATCATCAGATTTCCACTTAATAGAATTCCACACGTAAACTTTAAAGAACAAAGGTGATGTTTTCACTGTTTAAGCGGGGTTGCAGAAGCCTATAAAATTTCATTTCATTCTGTGGTACAATCGATTTTGTAGGTTTATTCTTTAGTTGGCGTGACGCGTTAAAGCTTCACAATGTTTAGTGCCATCCTATATTGTCCTTTACTATAAAGTATACGTTTATACGTTTTTTTTATAGTTTTGCACGTTACACTTTAATTCACACTTTTCCCTACCCGTCTTGTAAAGCGTAATATCTTTGATGCTGTGATGTTTCTTTCTTGCTCCTGTGGCTCAGTATATTTATATATGTTTTTAGATTCCGTACTTTTGGCCTTCTCAGAATATGAACCCTGACAACCTTGAATACGGTATATTGTAAAGTGTTTTACGGTATGCTAAAAGCATTCGTAGTTTTTAGCAATTTTTTTGAGTAAACGGTTGCTTAGAAGTGAAGAGAAGCACGGTTTGGTCGACTACGAAGCCGTAAGTTTGGTTTTTTTAGTCGTCGAACTGGTGATCCTATGAAATTTTAGGAATCCTATCAAAAGCTGAAACAGCTTTTGGGCCATATGTGGGATTTTATCGAAACTCAGGCAGAAATGCAGTTCAAGTAAGCCACATCAGTCTTTTTGTCGCAATTTCAACTCAGATGGGGGCAAGCAGCTCACTGCTCTGACTCTAACATCAAGTTACTATCAACTGCAGGGAAACTGTTCTATATGTTCAGTTGATAGGAGACTTCTTTTAAATCTGGCGCGCTTCAGGATCAGCTATTCTTCATGCACGGGCAAAATTTTCCTCTTCGTGGAATCGCTGATTAACGTTGACAGTTCACTTGTTATAGTATTATAATTTGCAACTGCACCTGATTCAGCAAAGGGTTCAACGTTAGAGCATATTTTGGAAATGGCTCTGATATATTGAAGAACATCGTTTCTGTTTTGGAACAGATGTATGCAATGTCACCCATTAAGGTCAGAGGAAAGTTGTCTGAATTCTATATTAACTGTAGACTGCATCAAAAGTGTGTACCCTCTTCTTTGCCACTCAGGATTCCTCTCAGTGTTATCGTTGAAACATTGGCAGATTGACAAAATACAAATGGTGCCATACTAGAAGGGATTCGCAATTCAAGATATCTGGCCATATGCTGCTCACCTGCAATAGGCAGATGATATTACCCTAATGAGTAGTACAGGAATCATGCTTCTTTGCTTGATGGTTTCCATGAAGTTCACAACTGTTAAAGTCTGCTTCTTCGTTGACGCTAGTAAGTCAAAAGTGATGAGGAACAACAGGTCTGCAAGTTCAGCGAGTGCGTAAATCAGTGGAAGAAATCGACTGGTTTGAGTTCATCTTTATCTCAAGCGTCATTACCATACGTTTAAAACTGTTGGCAGTGAACTGGAATGGCCAGTTCTGCATGAACTAGCCCGAACAGGTTTGACTCAAGCAGAGCTATGTCCAAAGAGGAAGCTTGCTGTGTTAAGGTCGATTTTCATCCTTGAGGCCATAATTCAAGGTCTGTGATCTTGAGTGCAAACGGCTGAAATGGACTTTATGAAGCGAATTCATATCTCGAAGAGGCTTGATATGCAACCGATGCATTTCCAGACTGAGATGTTTTGGATGCAATGGTTTAGACACATTTTGCGACACATCTGAAATTAAAACGGCATATAATGCTTGTTCAGTCGACCGGCCGAAGACCCCGGGACGGCAAACAATAATTTGAAGCAAGTGTCTTAAAGAACTTGGTTCCAGACTCGGGTTATCTTTTTCTGAAATCCTGATAGTGACAGGGAATCACAAACGTTAAAAACCCTTGTAAGTGTTATTGCCTCCTGGATTCGACAGACTAAGCGGTCAGCGAGAATAACTGGCTGATGATACGCTTAAAGGTTGTAGACCAGCGGCAGGAGTGTAATTGGTAGGCAGTTCTTTAGGTGTTCATATGCCATTTTATTTATAAGAAGAATCATACTTGATGTTTTCTACACTTTGGGCGTCGTATCTTTAGGCTCTTTAGGCTTCTGCAAATGGTGCGGTATTTTAACCGAAGGTGCATTATATTGACTGATTTAATAACGAATACAAATGAATCGTCCGAGACTAGTAGATTTAGCAGCATATTGCACTTACCTGTTTGTCCACATTTGTCAATAGAAAAATTTAAGCAGGCCAGGTTACAGCTCCATCATATTTTATTACCTACAGTGCAAGGCGAATCTCGCATCATTTTGTTCCGCTAGAACAACTTATGGCCCGTCACAGCGACGCATCTGGCATCGCTCTTGTGCAAATACGTTAAAGCTGTGGCTTGCTTAAATGGTCTCCCTGGGCAACTAGGGGCAAGGGGCGGTTAAGAGAGAAATCAGGTCGTGGAGGAGTCATTCGTTTTCTAACATACTCACGCTGACGATGCTTATATTGACTGATCTGTACACAACTGTTAATTGTAAATTGTATTTATGTAGAATGATGTACCTTTTTCTGTATGGTGGCTTATGTCAGAAATTGAAAATCTACTAATTCGTCGTTGCGTGCATTTCTCTGTGTGATTTTTCAGCGGGCTACCTTTCGTAATACATGGAGAATCGACGGAATTACTTCCGTTCATGACAGAAGTAAAGCTGGATTGCCTGTTGTTTGACATTTGCGTTATAATGAAGCAAATGTCTGAGGAGATTAACTCTGCTGTATTGTAAAATAGTGAACAGTTGGCCATTTACTGGTAAGATATATGCAACTGTTGGTCATTAAAATATGTTGCATTAACTTCCAGGATCGCTTGGAAAAGCAGCTCTAAGTTGTGAGCGAAAGTCATTGTGGAAGGTGCTGTTAGTATCACAGCTGGTAAAGAAATTTGATGTATCATTTTTGTAGTGGACAAATGGCTGGGAAAGAGCGATTGAATATGCATTTCTGGGCAAATACAATATTGGAAATAAATGGCACGTGTGGTATGTCATAAGATGAACAAAATCGACTCTTTCAGTATTGTGTTAGTCGAGCAAGATTTAGATTTAGACTGTCAGAATGTGCTCGCAAGAATAAGGATAGTGTTCTGTGAGGCTCTAAATATAAAAATTTATTCAACTAGTGAGATGTGGAAAATTCACTAATACGGGCTTTAAAAAAGTGCGAATCAAGTGATATTTTCTTTACAG